TTCCTGTCTTCTCTGTCGCCCCTTCCAGATCTGCGACCTCTATTTCCTCTTATGTTGTTATTTCGTCCTCTTCCTCGACCACGATGAACTGCTAATGCGGCAGCATTGTCTGTTAAATTTAGAGATTGAAGATCTCTTGCTGTATCGTTTATCTGAATCTGTTCTTCGCTGCACAACAGACTGTACAGATCATCGAGGCTGATTGGTTGCAGATTCGTTCGTATCGCTGTGTTGAATGATTGATACGACGAGGGAAGTCCATTTAACGTGTACAGAATCACATCCTCCGCATCGATCACATGTCCTGTTGCTGCTATTGCATCTACTTTTGATTTTACTTCTAGTAGGTACTGAGTCATTGTTTTGTTTCCTTTTGATAGATGATGCAGCTCATTCTTCAATTGAATGATTCTTGATCGGTTCGTTGCTTGGAGACGATGAGCGAGAGTATTCCATATTTCCTGACAGTGATCAAGTGTGAGGACATACGGTAGAATGGATGGAGTAATTACCGAGTATAATGCCGCTGAGAGATTCTGATCAATAAGAATCCAGTCGCTGTATGAGATTGAGTCGTCTGTTCTTGATAATGCTTCCGAGGAAGATGACTGAGGTGGACAGGTACATGTTCCATCAATAAAACCGCGAAATCCATTTGCTGTAAAAACTTTTTCAATCTGACTTTTCCAGATGGAATAATTGTCTGCTGTCAACGGGTTTGGTACCAGGTTCTTGATGTTGCTCATCAAGAACTTCAGCTGTGGCGGGATGGTTACGGTGACGATTGAAGATTTGGAGGCTGCCGTTTGAGATTGAATGGACGATGCCGCCATTGATTTCAGATGAGTTGATCACAGCAAGAAAGAGAGACGAGAGGAAAGAAAAAAAAAATTCTTCGTCTTCTGTTGATCGTGCTCTGATACCATGAAAGAGCTGAAGTGCGGTTAAGCGTTCAGCTTAGAGAAGAAAAACAAGAAGTGGAAAATGAGAAAATTTTATTATTGCTCTTTGTCTTCCTTACACCGGTATTTATAGTTTTTCCCTTTTACAGATTTCGTAACAGTAATGTCGGCGGAGTTCGTTCCGTCTGAGCTGGCGTGAGCTGGAGTTGCTTCTTGATTCATTCTGGTTGACAGTTATGAGCCGAGCTCGGGCCAGCTTGGTTCATTTACACTTCTAGGGGTGAATATGTTTTAGAGGAAAAATAAATAAAAGGAAATAGTTATAGGGTAAGGATTAGGATTTCTCCTTTGATAAGCACCCTTGTTATAGCTTTAATTTCTACCATGCCTTAAGTTAAAGGATGATTAGGTAGATGGAGGTATGTGTGAGGCTTTAGAACAATGTTTAGATTCATGGGGAAGGTATAACATGCAGAACAAGAACAAGAGATTGGTTTCCATTCAAATGTAATAGGCTGCTGTATACCGTTTTTCTTTTACATTTATTATGATAAATCTAAAGTGAGAAGTTGTAAAAATTTAAACACTTTCTCTCGCTAAGGTCAAAAGAAATTTTTTTTTTCCATAAGAAAATCCACAGTCAGCAATAAACTAATTTGACTAACAATTTTAAAAATGCTTTCAAACCCGAATCATAAAGGTAGATCTAAAAGCTTTGTCCATATTGGGACTTCCTTCAAATCACCCTCACTAAGAAAAAAAAATCCAGCATCCAAGATTTGAACATAAATGTTCAATTATTAATGAAACATGAACCATAAGACTTGACCTTTTTGAAGACCTTAGAGCCAAAAAATTAAAATTAGAGAATTCGTTTTCAATTGATAGAACATTGAGGGTACCCTTGAGCTTCCAAATTTTGCTTACCACAGAGAGGAGGTTTTCATAGAACAACCTTTTGCCAATCGCATAGCCTACCAAAGCCAATATTCATGGCTTTGCGCTTTTGTCCACCTCTTCATGTAAGAAAGAAACCTTACCTTCAGTAAAGGACTTAATATAGTTTATGGAGAAGTTAGATGAGCCAGGAACATTTACAGTAAGGAGTCCCAGTTCAAATTTAAAGTCAGAGAGGGGTAGTTCAGGAAAGTTTGGGTGGTGGGCCCAAAATAAAAAGACATGAGAAGGAGAGAGGAGGAAACTCGAAGCAATCCATGAAGAAAGTTGGCGTCTTCGGCTGAGTCGGAGAAAAATAGAGACAAACCCGTTGATTTGATGAGTATAGACAAGGGAGAACACTATTGCAAAACCCTAGCAATGTAGGGAGACGCGTGACACTATCTATCTCTATTTTCCACCATCATGTCTTCAATCATATTAGCCTTTTTTCTGCTGTAAATTTGTCCTTACAGTGAAAATCATAGCCTGGTGATAAGAATTTGGTTTTCTCCATATTGTCACTGCGAATACAAGCCATACAAATGTTTTTACGCTCACCATTATAAAAATAAATAACTAATTATTTAAATATGCCGACCCAGCTCAACAGAAAAGGCTACACACGGCTGTGTACCGCCCTTCTTATATAATAAGTTCCACGCTTTTTCTTGATCACACACAGTTCTGGATAAACACAGCTAGCTAGCTAAGCTTCTACTTCCTCCGGATCCCTTCATCTCCTCCTTCCGTCTCTGTCATGAGTTTCGTGGAGCAGATCCCCGATAGAACCCACAATGGCTTCCATCTCATTGGCAACGACGGCGCCACTTGCTCCCACAAAAGGTTATACATTTATTTCTTCTCCATTTTTTCTCACCACACCTTCACCCCCTGGACCTCACAAATCAAATAATTTCACAAAACAGGCTGGAAGGAAAGGTCGCATTAATCACCGGCGGTGCGGGAGGTATCGGCGAAGCCACCGTCCGCCTCTTCATCCGCCACGGCGCCAAAGTGGTGATCGCCGACATCAACGACTCCGCCGGACAATCCCTTGCCGACTCAATCTCCCCCTCCGCCGCCTTCATCCACTGCGACGTCACACTCGAGTCTGACATCGAGTCCGCCGTCAACTACACCCTTGCCCGCCACGCCCGCCTCGACATCCTCTGCAACATCGCCGGTGTACTCGGCAGGCAATCCGGCTCCAGAAAGAGTATCGCCGAACTCGACGCGGAGGAATTTGACCGCGTCATGCGCGTCAACGTGCGCGGCGCCGCGCTAGGAATGAAACACGCGGCGAGGGTCATGGCGGCGCGCAGGTCCGGCTGCATCGTGTCGATGGCGAGCGTCGCAGGCGTGACTGGCGGGCTCGGGCCTCACGCATACACTGCGTCGAAGCACGCGGTGGTGGGGCTCACGAAAAACGCGGCGTGCGAGCTGGGGGCGAGCGGGGTGCGGGTGAACTGCGTGTCGCCGTTCGGTGTGGCGACTCCAATGCTTGTGAAGGCGTGGAGGAAGGAAGGGGAGGAGGAGAAGGGAGTGCCGGGGAAAGAGGAGGTGAAGAAGATGGAAGACTTTGTTAATGGGTTGGCGAATCTGAAAGGTACGACGCTAAAGGCTTGGGATGTAGCGGAAGCCGTGCTTTATCTTGCAAGCGATGAGTCCAAATATGTGAGCGGGCATAATCTTGTGGTTGATGGAGGCGTCACGACCTCTACTAATCTCATTGGTTTGTAGGAATTTAGATGAAAGGAGGACAAGAGACTGAGTTGAAATTGTTGATGAGTAATAATTAGCAAGCAAGATTCAAGTACGTTTTGCGGTGGGGGAATTGGGTTTTTTCTATTATGAGACATATATTATTTTAAAAAGCGTTGAACTTTTTTCATCTAGGATGAGTATAAAGCCAATTTGCAAGCAGGGTAACTAACCAAGGCATGCATCCAATTAAGCAAAAATATAAACACTTTTCTTGAGATTTCTGGAGCCAATCACTATTCTTGAAAACTTAGTTCCTTAATTGAGGCTTTTGCTAGGTACACTTATTTCTAATAGTTCAGATCATGCTTAATTAAGAAGAACATGGACGCATTATCCTTACAGAATTTCAGTGTGATAAATTAAACAAATAATAAAATACAAAAACAATTGCATCATCCTGAAAAATGGAACCTAATAAAAATACTAATAAAACACACCAAGTAACTTATCGTTCTTCTTTTATAAAAAATGGCAGTTTCAAAAAATTAAGGCAGTAATTGGTACCAAAAAGGCTGCGAAAAACCTACCCTCGAGCTCAAGCTTATTCTTGAGTCATAGTAAAGCCTCCTAATTTGAATAGTCGACGAAGTCAAAGGTATGTAAGCTTGAATGATGTGAAGTATTAGGGTTTGCTTTTTTATAGCAGTAGATTTAACAAAATCAACACTAAACCTTTCAAAACAAAAATGATTGTGGCCTTGTGGGCCAACAAGGACCGCGCCACCGAGATTGCCACTATTGTTTTTTTTGGGACATTTAGGCCATTTAAGGCAAACTCGCACACACAACGCATACACATAGACTCGAACCCTGAACCTCTTAGTTGGAAGCCAAAGCTCTCAACCAATAGGCCAAGGAGAGTTGTGTAACCGCCACTATTGTAAAGAGCTTGGTTGTTTATTATTATTATTATTATTGACCTTTGTTGTTTACACTTCTTGCTTTTATGTAATAACCCGAAAGTACAAAAATGGTTAAAAAAAATTAGAATTTCTATTTGAATTTCATCATTGCAGTGCTATGCCTTTGAGAGCCTCAAGGATCTCATAATGTAGTGACGCTCATAATGGTTGTTACGACATGGAAGTCTCTGTTCTATTGTAATTTTAAATTTGACATGTAGTATTGCGATGCTGCCCACTAAAAATCATTTATATTTTTTTTCTCCGCTAACCCATCCCTCCCTCACACCACCGTCGGCTTGTCAAAGAAGAAATTGGGAGAGAGGGAGAAGGAAGAAGGAGATAAAGAAAAGAAGGATTTTTGGTGTTCAAATTTCTTCATCGCTTTTACGAAAATTATTCCAATCGAGCTATGTAATTTTAATCATATCTCTATTTTCAATTATTTAATTTTTTTCTACTAAATTCTCCTTTAAATTTATTTTACTGTATTTTTCCCCAATTTTAATGAACATTCATCACATAACTTTTCATATATTATCATATTGATTATTCCAAATATATTATAATATTGTTGAATTTCACCAAGTAGAATGAAAGATATGATATTTTATACAATTTTTCCTAATGGTGTTAAAATATGCATTGGGAATGAATATTGATATATAATTGAGTAATAACTTGTCATTATTATTGTTATAATATTATGAAAATAATAATTTGTGTATATAAAAAAAGTAAAGATTCTTTGACTCGTTGGTTGAAAAATGATAGACTTGTATCGAATTGTGGGTCGACAGTCTTTTCTTTAAATATGATGGTTTGATATTACCATCTAATGATTCATGTAATACAACAATACAATGATAAGGAGTTATAAAGATTTAGCACTATGTTCATGGGAAAGGAGTGACGACTCTGTTTACTGAGCATGGTTGTCGACTATGGATTTCTAAATACTGGAAAAACACCATGATAGCAAACACTCCTTGTTAAATAATATTGGATATGATTATTTAAATGTATGTTATTAATGCATTATTATTATTTTAACTGATAGTTATTATATTGATTCACTGTTATTTCTGTACTATTTTACAGTTCTACTACCACCAGTTTACAGATATTGATATTTTTTTTTTGGTTAAAACCCACAAAGGGGCCTACATTTTAATTTCAAAAAAGAGGTTACACAGTCCTTAGAAGGGACCTCCAGCTTGCTAAGGCTCAGAAGAGCTACAAAAAAAGTCAAAATAAATCCTAAAAGCCGGTGGTCCCTTTTTCTACGATTACAAAACCAATAAGCATAAGCGCTAGGGCTGCGGGATAACAGCACCCAAAAAAGGAAGATCATGATGTTCTCGTTCGGCTCAATCCTCCTGCAAAAAATGAAAGCAAAGAACCAAAATTTAAGAAGAAAAAAAGAAGTAATCACCTTTCTAATGTTGAACCTCCAAAGATTAGTGACGAACCACCTGCATAAACAACTCCAAAACCCAATGTTAGCTGGAATATGATATATACAACAGAAAAAACCTTCCAGATAAGCAAGGCAACATATCATATAGATATGAAAATTCTTAGCACTAGAAGAACTCCAGAGAACAGCAGAGATAACACTTATAAAGCGACCCGTTATCGCCAACATTCCGCTCCAGATCACAAGATTATAATTCCCAGCCAAAGCTGGTAAAACCAACTGCCATAAAATGAAAAATTTGATAGAACACCTTCTTACAGATATTGATATGTTACTGCTATTGATTCATTATCACTTTTTCTACTATTAATTTATTATGATTTACTGATAATAAGCATGTGATTAATATACTAAGTGATACTGAGCATGTGATATAAGACACTGATCAGATACCGATATAGAATGATTGAACTTTATGTGTATATTGATGTGATTATATTGCACAATCATGGATTATATAGTTTTCTAGATACTCTAGTTATTCATCTATACAAATTTTCCATAATTTCAATTCAATATCCATACTAAATCATTCATTTATTAGTTTATCGATTTACTAGTTCACTAGTACCTATTCTACTAGTTTTCGTATTGAATTGTTCTACTGCTTACAGATTTTAGTTCATGATCATATGATTGTTATTGTTATAAATTTATTGATGGAATCCATACTACTTTTTTCTATATGTTGAGTCATTTGTAGACTGGATGACCTCTTGGGATTTTTTTAACTCATTATATGAGTTTAAAATAATTTCATAATAGGGTAGATGATCAGGTGTGTGAGACTGATGAGATCAGGATTCTCCGAGCTTACTATTAGTTTATTTCTTTCTCTTTTAGCTATTATTTAGTACTTAGGATTGGTAATGATAGATTATAATTAATGTTTGATTCATGAGTATTGCATATGATTTTTTGGAATAATGAATAGATGTGTATATTGATATTTGATCAACAACTTTATTTCAATTGATATTCATAATTATAAAGAGATTAGATAGCACTAGTTATTATTAATTAAAATATATAAGATAAATTCCTCCAAATTAGATTTTGAGGTGTTACTATGAGTTTGTTAAAAATATGAAGAATTAGATTTATAAGTTTATCATCAATTCCTGATTAGTCAGTTCCATTAACAAGACAAAAGACTTGCATTTCATAGATCAAATGGCATATTTGAAACCTAAAAGTTATTAAGGAAATGCAACCCAAGATATTCTATAATTAGTGACAAGCATCAGAAGCTATAAAGGAAATTAAGAAGACCTCAAGAAACTTCATGTAAAAACTTCAACAAACCCATTTAGCAGCCACAAATGATAAACTTTCTAATAAAAAATGGCTTATCAGTGATTTTGAACACTATAAATAAAAGATGATTAGATTTGTTGTTGGTGATTATAAGAGGAGGACCTACTATAAGTGCAGGTGGTTCTATTTCTATAACAATTTTAAATTTAATATCCCTAAATTCTAAAAAGTGGTCTGAGATGAGCATTGCAATGTTGAGCTTATTGGCACTACAATGCAAAACTCTAAAGTTTCTAAAAAATAATGGAGTGCAATGGTGCTCGATTTGGGGAACAATGGTAATTGGTCTAAAACTTTATTTTTTTAAGAAAAAATATCTAAAATCATTTACTTAAGGGTGACAAAAGATGTCAATACTCTACTGTCACCAAGAGGGTGAGAAATGATACTGGTACTCTACCGTCACCAAGAGTGTGAGAAAGGATGCCAGTATTCTGTCGTCGCCAAGAGGGTGAGAAAAGATGTTGGTACTCTACCGTCACCAGGAGAGTGAGAAAGGATGAAAGTACTCTACCGCACCGAGGTTGGTGGAAGAGAGGTTATTATAAGGGCTTCTCCACCTTGCTGTGAGATTAAAAGGAGAGTCGCTTTGATATAGTGTAATACCTGAAGGAGTCTTCATGGAGTGGACGTATGTCTAATTGGACTAAACCACTATAAAATTATATGTTCTTCTGTCTTTATTTTACTACATATTTACTTTCTATGGTTGAAAATTTATTTTAAAATATTATCAATATACAAAAGAACTTAAATCAATTTTCTAAATTACCAAGAGATTTTTAAATAACCAATTCCCCCCCCCCCCCACCCCTCTCTTTGTTAGCCTTGGGACAAATCTATTAGGTCTTACAATCTATTTGAACTTTCATGCCGATGGTGAATTGTGGTCAACTAGGGTCCACTGAAATGTAGTTTTATATTTAACATGTCATGAAAGGGTTAGAGACATGTTCAAGGGTTTCAAGAAGACTCAGAATGTCAAATTCTACAAGGTGCACAGTCTAGCGGCATGGGATATAAATATTGAAAGTTTTTGTAGCCTATAGAATTAATTTAGTTATTGGTATTAGAGGGTTTGGATTGTCCTTGAGCTCAGAGGAATGATCCTATAGACATTCATAATCAATATGCAACTGACAAATCAAGTATCAGAGGTTATTTAGTTTTGTTTGAGGTGATTGAAAAATCACTCAAAAAGAATTATGGCATAATGGACCTTTGCCTTAACTTTGGGTTTGGAATTTTGAATTTGGTTTTGGATTTTATATTAGATTTATTGAGTATATTTTCTCATGCCAATGATAATAATTTAGGTTATTATTAATGGGAGAGTAGAAGAGGTCAAGTGATAACTAGTAAGTGGCTACTACTTTAGGCAATTTGGGTGTAATTTGAATTTGAGTTTGGGTTGGATTTGAATTGGGC